TACTCGTCCTGAGAAATCTGATAGACATGGCCCCCCATAGACGTTTTTACAAAAATTAGCATTTTTTGAATTTGGTGGAACTCGAAAATTTTATGTTTTCTATTTTCCTGACTTTCGTTTTGAAGATGGAGCATATGTGCAGTAGACAATAATGTTTATCAATTTATCACCTTTTGAATGAAAAAAGTTTGAACGTCTACCATGAACATGAACAAAGTTAAGGTCGCTCAAACGGTCCCGACTCCAAACTCACGAAAAATCAAAAAATGTCTCACCATTTGAATAGACCTTCACGAGGGCCGCTATAATTTTGGGATTTTTCTAGATAGTCTGTGTACTACTATTTACAATAGGTTTCATCCGAATCCCCGGGTAACAGTTGGGAGGCTTCCCGTGCAAGACTTGAAAATGTGAGACCTTTCTATCATTGGTTTAACAAATATAAGTGTGGCTACCCATTCAAGAAGATGCACATACTATTGTGATCCTTGTGATCCTTGGAATTTGTTATTTTGACACTTTAGTGTTTTCATTTCAGAACTCGGCTCAAAACGGACATGCAAAGACAAACAATTATCATCCTCGTCCACCACCGAGAATCAGCGAGCCAATCAGAACACACCACAACAGAGTGCGTAAGAAGCCGAAGAAGTACGACAGTGATGATGATGATGAGGAAGTAAGAAATGAGCAGATGATGGAGTCTTCTTCGTCATCATCTTCAGACGAAGATTCAGACACCGACCCTTCTTATGAAGAGGTAACTTTGTCCTTCTAATAATTGAGCTCATGAGAAGGGTTTTCAGGGAATGAAAGCGAAGAAAACAAAGAACAATACTGCGGAAGAGTCTAGTGATGAAGATGAAGATGATTCTGGTATTCAAGCAGTCATTAATAGTGCAGCAACGACTGTTTTTTCTGCTGATTCAGGAGCACTGGATGAGGATATCAACAGACCGCAATCTGCTAAGGTAAATCATGCACTGAAAATGGGTTATCATTTGAGATAAAGTTTTGGAATCATGAGAAATATTGGGTATTGGTCATAGTTCACATTTGAGGACCGATAATTCTGTCGTTATTTCACTGTTAATAATGCCATCTAGAAATTCGAAAATTCGAAATAAAGCCCGGTCGAACTGCGGTACCACAAACCTTATCGATGACTAAATAATATAGGAGGGACTGTACAAATTCTCATTAAGACTTAGATAGTCATGTAGTATTCAACCATGGACTACCGAGAGCTTCATATCCATAGCGTCCTGAGGTTTCTAGCTGAAATGAAGTTACATTGCTGAGAAACTGATCCTCTAAGAATGTGATCAAACTTCGTAAAATTTTTTAAGAATCTTCATTCGATATTTGTACTAAAAATTGAGTATCAGATGTTGGAACTTTTTACCCGCCAAAGTGTTTCCGGTGAAGCCCTCGTCAGCGGCTTTCAAAAATCGACTATTATCCTGTGATCTAAAACATTTTCTTGTCTTGAATTCAACTAATTACTAACTTGGTTTTTCCTTCATCTCCCAATTACTACAAATGTATGTCCCTGTTATATCTCCTAGTTTCATAGGCATTTCACGTGTTAGTGGTTTTCTCCCCTTCGTTGAAATAAATAAATAAATAAAATAAAAAAATAAAAAATAAACCTCCAAAACTGAAATTGTCAAACTCAGTTTCTGATTCATTAAAAATAACGGCGATTTTTAAATATTTGTGGGGGTGGTTATCCATGACTTGTTTAAAGTTATTATCATTTCAGAAACCAACACCAAAAGGTTATACGACAGAGCAGCACAGACTACTTCTGGAAATTTATAAAGAAAAACAGCTACCCAAATGTACTGATTACACGGCAATCTCAAAGGCAATGGGAATGACAAAAGAAAGGGTACTTACTATGAACTTCGACCTTTGAATAAACAAACATGATTCAGGTTCGCTATTGGTTCAAAAATAAAAGACGAATTGATCGAAAACATCAGGTAAGAAACCTTAATTTTCATAGAAATTTATTCGATGTTTTTTTTTTGCAGAATATCCAACCCCAAGAGAAAAAGAAGGCTGTGGAGGACAGTGATACTATTCAACTCTTCTTGTTAATATTACAGAAAAACCCGCATTTCACAAATTACGGTAATCCAGCGCTGCTTGCTAGATCAAAATGGAATAAGCATCAGGTATGCTAACAATTTATACTAGTGCGACGAAAATTTATTTTCAGTTGACATGTTGGTTTCAAACCTACAGACGGGAGATTGGTGTTCCGCCGAAGCAGGGCAAACTGACAGATGAGAACTTGATCGATCTTGAAGAATTGTTCAAGGAACATCAATTTGTCACAGAGTGGGAATCTCATGATCATGAATTGTTTGTGGGAGTTGCCGCAGCAACGGTAAAATTATTTATATGTTTTTTTCGCAAATACATTTTTAAGATTCGAGAATGGATTGAACAAAAGAGACAAGAAACGATGGCAATGTTTCTGGAGCCTGAAGAGTTGCCATGTCAGCTAGCTCTTCTGGAAACTTCCTATCGCGACACTCTAGTTCTTCGGGATACTTATCAAACACTTCTTTTGTCCAAGAAAGCAAACCTTGAAATTGAACAAGTGAGTGATAGTCATCAGAGGTCATATCCATGAATATTTTCTTTGAAAAACCATCCTCTTATCAGACACTAACTGAATTTTCTTCCAAAAAGTTTGAACATCATTCAAAGAATCCTCCGACTGAACTGAATTCTCTCGAAAACTATGTAATGAAGTATTCTAATTTTCAGTCACAGTACTCAACATTTTTAGCTCTATCTATTCATGTTGTTTGTATCCAAAAACAAAGTTGTTGAGTTGAAAAGCAGCAACATTTTTGGTTTGAAATAAAATAATACTGCATTTAGCATACTCTTCCATGATTGAGCTACTTTCTCAGGTCAAGAAAATTCATGAATATGAGTTGAAACATGAAACGAAATTAGCATTCCTGCATACCGTGAAACCTATAATGGAATGGCTCAATAGTTTTGAATTTGAGACAATTTATCTCTGTTCCTGTGAAAGGTATCAAAACATTGTCAACTGATAAAATGTTTATCATCATATCACAAATATTTCATCAGTTGGCACATTTTGAACATCTTGCATTGGAACCAATAAAAATAGCTCAAACGGGACAGTGTGGGGGCCGTCCTATTACAGCTTACTGGTTACGGTAGATGAAATTGAGAAGGAAATGTTCATGAATACGGCCTCAGATATCATACAAATTGAAATAACGAATTTTCCAGGTTGTGGATTATTTTGAATCGCGGAGAGTAATCGATCGAACTTATGGTCGATTGACAGATGAGGTCTTAACAAACGTTAGAGCCGAAGTCGAACAAGCGGAGAGAACAGATTTATTAGGACCGATTAATGGAGTGATGCTGAGCAGAAAAGCCTTGACCGATGCTCGCGCAATTCAATTCTTTCCCGACTTGCAAAACACATACCTTCCAGTGAATATGTCGACGGACTACAAAACTTGGAGCGTAAGTTTCAAGCTGCTTTCGGATCGACCGCAAGCTGGAGTAATTTTCAATCAGATATAGAAAAAAACATTTTTCAGTTGATTTTCTGCCGTTTTGACTATTTTCAGGAGTCTGGAGCTCGGCTGAAAATGGGCCGATCACTTTAAAAAATTTGAAAAATTTCAAACGAATCTCGATTGAAAACTTCGAATTCACAGAATTTTTTAAAAATGTTTAGTCTTTTAGCTTTCAGCCTATCTGTGGAAGACAACTTTTTTCATGTTTTCCGTACAAAAAAAAAGGACGGACAAAAAGAGGTGTTTTTTTGGTAAATAGCTGAAAAACTAGGAATTTTCCAATAATTCTGTGGATGCATTTTTATTCTACATTTTTTACAACCTCCAAAATTATCACAATGTTCGGAAACCTGACAGCCGAGCTCCCGAATCTTGGAAATGCTCAAAATCTACTGAAAATACGTTTCTGAACATCTTATTGACCGGAACTGTATGTGTATTTCCAGGCTACCGATTTCCAAGAGTTTGCTATTCAATTTCTGCCAAGAAGAGTTGTGTCACTGTTTGCCAGTAGAGGATTGTGCGGACGAGACGCTACATTTTTCTATCTGAAAAACAAGAAATTCTTCGATCGATTGAACATTGGTTCCCCAAAAGATCAGTTGAATATAACGTGGCCAGAATTCATGGCTGTTAGAGACCAAATTTTCTTCATCAAAAATTATCATGCGAACGTTGCCCAACAAAATGGTGTCATCAGTACAACAAACTGACCGGTCAACTTTTCCATTTTATTTATTTCCTATTTTTCTTTTCCCATGTCTTGTTTCCAATTACCAAACCGAGACGTACCTCAAGTCTGACGTTTTTATCTTCTCATCTATCACATGTTCCCTCACTTCCTTCATTCCGTTTTTTTCTGTATTCCAAACCTACATTCAGCATTTTCCCTTTTTCACTTTGTATTGTAAAAAGTCTACAAAAGAAGATACAAACTGTATTTTTTGCACATCGTCATAACAAAGATGTCATATTTTACAATTTTCCCATCTATTGTGAACATTTCCTCAAAAAAAAAAGAAAAAGATAATACCACATTTTTTTGGAAAATCTCAATTACATTCGCAATTTTGAGGTGACTAATTGTCTCTTGTATTATTTTTTATCTAATAAAATGTTAAATTGAAAAAAAAAACCTTCTACATTAATGAGACGATAATAGTTGCAGTTTCCTGTACTCAACAATCCGTTTGTCGATGTGTCGACCGGGAAAAAAGTGAACATAAAACACCAAACCGGTTTTTCACTTCCCTATTCGATTCTTCCTATACTTGCCAAAAAAATACCCACCGATCTTCTCTATTTCTTTCACAAAATCACACGAAACGGATTTTTATTTGTTTCCTGTGAATTTTAACATAATTTCAAAACTTTTTGGTTTCTCTAACCTGTTTTTTTTCAGATGGGCGATCCAGCCAGTGTCGCCCAAAGAATTCGAAAGAAATTTAAGGTAGTGTCAAGATTTTTTACATAAATGAAGTTTATTGAATTGAAAATTGAGACATTTTAAAACTAGATAGAGAAACTATAAAAATTGTGAAATTCAGAAAATTATGAAAATTGAGAAATTGAGAAATTATAGAACTGGAGAAACTTTAAAAATTGAGATATTGAGACAATTCTGAAAATGAGAAATTGAGAAAATGTAAAATATTAGGAAATTTTACAGAAACGTGATCCGGATTCCAAGAAGAAGCTTGAAAAGGAGCTAGAAGAAGATGTAGAAATAAAGGCATATCGTTATCTGAACCCAGACAACTGGTTCTCTACCTTGGACCCCCTTGGCGAATTATTTGTTTTCGGTGAAAATGTTGTGACAATTGGATTTCTGGAAATAAAAGTTAGTTACAAAGCATTCCGTGCCCTTCAATTACAGTACCGGCAATAAGATATTCAAAAAAGTATTTTTCCGTTGATTTTAACCATTTTCAGGAACCTGGAGGTCGGCTGTCCAGTTTCCAATAACTTGGAAAATTCTGGAGACTGTGAAACAGACCTAAATTGAAAAATTTGCATTCACAGAACTTTTTGAAAACATTCATTATGTTTCAGAAATCGGCGAATATCGAAAAAAAACTAGGAATTTTTAAAAAATTCTGTAAATGCAAAGGTTTCAATCTTGGTCTGTTGTATACCTTCCCACGTTTTCAAAGTGATCCGACACTTGGCAGCCGAGTTGCAGACTTGAAAATAGTGAAAACCTATTGAAAATATGTTTTTGAATATCTTCTGACCGGCACTGTAGATCTGTCTTTTTGATCCATGTTTTACTACCGAAATGTATCAGGATTACGATTCAATAATATTTTCAGAAGCCAGAATCGTATAGTCAAATGAAGTGGGGTATGTTCGTTCGAGCCCTCGTAAAAACTGACGAATACTTTCAAGAGCTGGAATTCGAGGACGCGAGTGAGCACTTGAGATTGAACATTTGGTTCCGAGCAGTAACAAGAGCTATCGTAGTCGAGACGCAACGACAACGATTGCTTGGAGCTGAGAAACTATGTTTGAGAGAAATGTACCGTAAACTGAAAGCCGAATTCCTAGAATTGGGATATAAAGTATAATTTTTTAAATCTTTTTAATTTGAATTATCGTGTATAAAAATTTTGACGGTGGTATCAACTAGGCGATGTTTCTTTCTTAGTGTACAGCTTTCCTTTTTTGATGTTTTTTAAAGATGTTTTCCTGGAGTTGATGAAAACAGGTGTTTAACTTTTGTGTGATTTTAATTCTAACCATATTAATAATTTTTCTGAATCATTATTTCTGATGTATAATGATGTTGTAAACAATTTTTTAAAATTTATCCAAATTGTAACCTAACATTTTGTAAAGAAGGTTTTCTCAGTTTTTTTAATAGATATTTCAATTGTGAAAACTGGTGTTTCATTTAACAGAAAATGATTGATTCGAAAAAAAAATTTCAGGATTTTGTTTTCCATTTCAGAGTTTCTCTAGTTCATAAAAGTTCACTCTAATTATAGTGACATTTCAAAAACAGGTGAAAATGTTATGTTTAAAAACAAAAAATTTCTCAATTTTTCATTTCCTGCTCGTTTCTCGTTGCTCGAGCACGCGACGTCTTCCCTTCTCGAATATCTTTTTTCCCCTTCATCCGGTGCTCTGTTTTTATGGAGCGGCGCGAAAGACAAAAAAGGGAAATAGTGCAAGTGAGACAAAGAAGAGAGTGCAGGGCTCACTACCTCACTCTCTCACGTGGCTTTTTTGAAAATCCTAGGCATTATCTTAATGATTTTCTTATCAGACATGAGTTTTAAGAATTGCATTTTCTCCCAACTCTCGCACTTTTCAGCAATGATTAATCTGTTTGACACTTTTCAACCCAAGTCTTTCACACCGTTCGCTGGTTTCGCGGCTCCAACCAATTCTATGTGTTCTCATTCATTGAGCCAGCTCACAGGATTTGCAATTAATAATTTCGTAAGTTGTTTGATATTTCACTTTTTAAATAATTTTGTTTTCTTCATGTACGTCTTCAAGAATCATGAGAATAAGAAAAATTCGGGATAATCAGATTGCAGATGAAAAATAAATTTTATTAGGATGAATTATGAAAGGTAATAAACTGAACATATTATTAAAAAACATACATAAATTGAATTAGGCAACTGAATAGGATAGAGAGTATGGACCAAATTTGCTCTTTACTATTCGAATCTAGGTTAGGTTTTTTGCTTATCTGAATTTTGTTTGTTTGGACAAATATTATTCTGTTATTTCAACAAAATTCCAGAAAAATTTTATTCCCATTAATTCCAGATTGCACAGCAGAATCTTCCCTCGATTTCTGAAATATTTTCTCCAATACAGCAAAGTGAAACTCCACAAAATACTTCTTTCTCGGATGTCACTCGATTTGGAATATCAGAAACTTCTGACAAGAGTCATCATCTCGCTTTTTCAGTGGGTTCCTTGTCGCAAAAGTTTATGCAATCTGAAACTTTTGAAAATTCCAGAACACTGCTTGTAACACTGTAGCGGAAAGAGTTCCAACTGTATCATCTGCTATTCCATCACCAACATTATCTTCAACAACGCTTCAACTCGACAATGAATCTGCAGCAAATTCACAGAGTCATCCAACGTTTCCTGTAGTAAGTAACCCTGATTAAAACTAACATCCGATAAGTTATCAGTGATATTTGGTTTACATGAAAACCTGAAAGAACAGATTATGTAGAAGATGGTGTCTTCTTTTCGAAACGCTTTAAAGGAGGCCAGACACGAAAGTCTACGGGGTTTTCTTGGAGCGAGATCATGCATTCTGACGGAAAGTCGTGCGATTGCGACCAATGCGCGCTACTTGACGAGCATTAATATTTTTAAAGAAACGCTTGATTTCTTCAATGTTAGGCAATAATTCCAGACTTTTTGTCGATATTCTGTCATTCCATGATGTCGCCGCATGAAAACAAAAAAAAACGAAAACGGACACATGGGAATCGAACCCGCGATGCGCGACCGATAGACCAGCGCGTTCACCTCTACACCAAACGGCGCCTGTCGTCTACTGCCGCTAAGACGGCTATGAAACGAGGAGTGTGCCGCCCCGTGGAAGAACGTTCGCGTTCTCGCTAGTATGGCAACATGGAGTTATGGTTGGGTGACCATACATATTTTCTGACTGTACTGTGTCATATATCAAAAGACTAGAACTTTGAAATTTTTCATGTCTGGCCTCCTTTAAGAAACTTATTGTTAAACAACAAAAAACGTAATCCAGTGGTCTTTCAATACACGATCTTCTATAATTCTTTTTTTTGTTAAAGATCAATAAACCCAGCGCCCAGGAGAAAAAAGAAGCACACTTGGTGTTAGCTAATCTCTTGGAAGAAATTCCAAAATTTGATGAATATAACAACACAAAGCTTATGGAAACAACCGGATGGACAGAAGACATGGTATGTCTTACATGAGCGTTTGACAAACAAAACTATGAATTGCAGATTAGGAAATGGTTCAAGGAAACAAGACATCAGAAATTAGAAAAGCTCTTTTTTGAGCATCCATTCGCTGACGAACAGAAAGCAAGAAAAGTTGGAGTGATTATGCCAGACTCTATTTCGGTAAGTCTTTTTTTCGTTCATAAAATACTACGTTTCAATTAAGGTTCCCGAGACGCTAAAATTCTTACGAAACAACTTTTTGATCCGCTACCTACGTGGTGGTAATGTATTTAACATGCCTAAGAAAATGCAAGTTATTGAACAATGTTTGCAAGAAAATGCAGACCCAGCATGAAGAATGTGGCAAAAATATCAAACAAACTGAAGGTGAAGCGACGAGAGGTACTAAATTTGTTCTTGCGTTAACAATGCAAGTTGTTATAGGTGCACAACTATATTTCTATGAGAGAAAAGTTGATTGCGATTCATGGAAATGTGAATTTTGTGCATTCCAGAACCATAAATGAGAAAGAAGAAAAAAATGTGGAATCTGAAGGGAAAGAAAAGATTCTATCAGAAACTACACTATCCAAAAATCCCGGAGACGACCTCCCAACTGGAAAACAATCCGTAAAAGCTTTAGAAATGGAGACGTTCCAAGATAAAATAATGAAGCGTCTTTTCATAAATCAACCATTCATGGAAAGCGCACCGATTGTGAGTGGCTCGTTTATCAAAATAGGGTTACCGTATTTTTCTAAATTTTAGATTAATTCCTACATGAATTTAGCAAGAGAAACGTGCATAGCAAAGTACCTACGTGGAATCCTCACTCTTGACGATCTCCCTCAACAGATGCTAATTCTTGAATTTTTGTTGCAAAAATCCAATCAAGTTAGCAGACAACTAGTGGTGAATTTAGCGGCGATTGCGAAAGTGAAGGAGAGTCAGGTAATATTTAGAAACAAAGAACGATGATAATAATTTCAATTTTTCTGTCTAGGTGTACGACTACATTGAAATGAGAGCTCGCTGTATAAAAGAGTTTGAAGCAGAACAGAGAATGAGGAATGAAGTGGATAAGGGAATTGTTGGAAAACATAGCTCAGTTGGAAGCGATCAAGATAAATGATTTTTTTAATTGTGATTTAATTGTGATATATGTTATTGAAATAACTATTCATCAGGTTTCACGTTTCCTTTTTTAATTTCTTTACCGGCAAATTTTTGAGTTATGTGATATTTTTCAATGTTTACATTTCCAATGATTTTTGAATGAAAATTTTATTTCTGTCAGAAAAATTATTATAAAATGCGAGTCCAGACTTAATGGTCGACTCAAGCATAATAGGCAGCAACAATGCATCGCGTCTAACGACGACGACGAGTTCCGTCTTCGAAGAAGATTCCTCCATCGATAGCGCAGTATTTTGGACAGATTCCCTTCTCTCCTTGTCCTCCAGCGTTTCCTGGCTGTCCTGGAGCTCCTGGATTTCCATCGCTTCCTGGCTGTCCTGCTGGTCCTGGTGGTCCCTTTGGTCCTGGTGCTCCGGCTCCTCCTGCTGCTCCAGGTTGTCCGTCAGATCCTGGGGGTCCGGCTGGTCCTGGTGGTCCGGCTGGTCCTGGTCCAGCTTCTCCTGAGGATCCTCCAACACCGTCTTGCCCTGGTCCTCCTGGCTGCCCTGGTTGTCCATCGTTTCCTGGTGCTCCTGGTGGCCCTGGTGGTCCCGCTGGTCCTGGTGCTGATGGTCCTGCTGGAGCTCCGGCTGATCCTGGTCCTCCGGCTGGTCCTGGCTGTCCGTCTGGTCCCGGTGGTCCTGGTGGTCCAGCTGGGCATGGTTGGCATGGTGGTGGAGTAGAAGCCTCGCATGGTGCTCCAGCTCCCTTTCCAGAAGCTCCTGGGTTTCCTGGTGCTCCTGGCTTTCCTGGTCTTCCTGGCTTTCCTGGACGTCCTCCAGCTCCTGGTGGTCCTGGATTGCAGCATCCAGTGCATCCACCATCTCCGCCTCCTCCGCCTCCTCCTCCTTGCCCTCCACCTCCACCTGCGGAATATCCGCCACCTCCTCCGGCACCCCCAGCGGAAGCATAAGCTTGTCTGGCAGTTCTGTTATGCGTCATTTCCATTTCCTTGATGTCAGACCACATGTCAGTAATTCCTCCCTAGAATTTTCCCATCTTTATGTTTTCAAAAACAAAAAAGGGACCAACCTTGCAGTACATGGATTCTTTGGTGACTTGCATCTTGGTATTCTGCACATAATTGTACAGAAGGGGAAGGGTGAAGCATAGAGAGACTGCAGCGATACAGGAGAAGCCAACAGCCGAGTAGGCGATAAAACGGTAGGTACGAAGCTTAAGATCCACGTGAGACTCCATGGTTGACTGGCTGCTGTTGCTGATTGCAAGCCAGTGATGTGATGAGGATGGCTCCGACGACTCGCCTTTTATATCACTTCCACTATGGCATAAACCAGTTGCCAAAACAAGACGAATAGTAGAAGAAGGAGGAGACCACATACATGTTGTCCTACCAGAATCTACATATGGTTCCACATAGTTTATTGTCATTTGGTTTGCTGTAGTTCCTTTTGTAATAATTACCAGTTGGTTAGTAGTTTTGATTTATTCTTGACCTCACTTTGATGTTATCTTACTCAGCCATGTTCTGTATGTAATTTGTATAATTTCAAGTGGTGTTCTTTGAAGTGGAAATTAGTTGCATTTGTAATTCTTTGTTGTTTTTGGAAAAAACATTTCAGGCAATAAATTAACATTTGATTTCAATGCAAAATTGTTTTTCTAATTATTGATACCGTATTTCCTGTAATGACCATTCGACTTTTAGCTTTATTATTTCAAGTTCTGTGGAAGATATGAAAATGTGTCAACTGATAAAATGTTAAGAATAATATAACGAATGTTTGACAGTTGACCACTTTTTTGATAACTTTTACAGAAATCGCAATAATTGAGCTCAAAGTTGGCAGTTTTGATGGAATTCTACTAGAGGAAATACGGTAGTTCGAAAAAATGAAAGAAAATTGTATTCAGAAATTTCGAAAACTGCATTTTTTCTGTGATTTGCATATTATTACGGAATGAAAAAACTGGTTGGCCGTGACTGAAGGTCCCACAGCGACAACTACAGTAACCACATTTTATTTGCATTTTTCGACATTTTTCTCTTTTTGGTTTCCCGTATTTTACTGATTTTTGTAGATTTTTGTTATTTTCTAAAAAATTTTGTTATTTTCTAAAAAATGCCGAAAATTAAAATTCTTGAAGTTTTCTAAAAATTTATAAATTCAGGAAAAAATATATTTACATTACTGTAGTTGTTGTTTTTACTTGCCCTGATTTCTGGTAAAAAATAATTCCCATTTAGACTTGAAATTTGGTTTTTGACAATTTATTTTTGCTTCTGAACTGCTATTATTTTTAAAATTCATTCACAGTTAAAAATAAAAAGTTATTTGAATCTTATTGTTTTTTTTTCAACACGCATGACAAAAATTTTTCAGATATTTTTGTAATTCTCAAATCTCGAAATTCAAAACCCTCTGACTCAGTTTTCGCCCTTCCTACAAATTCATTAGTTCCAATTACGCAACATCAAAAATGGAAAGTGAAAATAGAAGATGAGACGTTTGCGCCAAGTTGATGATACTGCGCGCAAACAAAAGTTAGTTCATTATCTCTCAAAAAAAAGAGATAGAAAATTCTATCATCAAACGGTTTTTTTTCCTTCTCGTCATCACTTTTTGCGTTGCCTTGCCAATGATTTCTTCTGTTCTGGAAACAAGGAACTGATTGTGATGATGGTAAATTAGAGAAAAACGATAAGGCGAAATAGGGTTTGATAGAGAAAGTTACAATGTTTCTAACTTCTCAATCCAGCCTTTCTCTAACCGATTGATAAGAAGAGTGTGACCAAACGTCAGGGATTTCCTATAAAAGGACAGCAATGACACAAGGTTACTCGTCGACCGTTCGGTTAACTCTTCGTAGAAGGTTTGTTTCCTATTCTCTCGAATTACTGTAGAAAATTTCGATTTTTGCAGATGTCGTACGCGGTTCTAGTCACTAGTGCTGCTTCAATTGTTGCCACTGGCATGCTGCTTATTTCCGTTGGAAATATTGTTTCGGATCTCAACAACCTCCAATTGGAGATTCACGATGGAATGGAAAACTTGAAGGTATAAAACTTTGAAATTTTGAAAATTCGCAATTAGTGTATTATTAATGTTTTAGATGAAGTCCGATGAGACCTGGTCTCGTATTATGTCTCTTCACGTGCACCCAACTGGAGATACTGCTGCCCCACCAAACTTCAAGACCCTCTTCGGACGTCACAAGCGTGACAACAGTCAATGCCACTGTGGACTTCAATCTCAAGGATGCCCAGACGGCCCACCAGGAGCTCGTGGACCACAAGGAGCACCAGGACTGAATGGAACCCCAGGAGTCGACGGAAAGCCAGGAATCGCCGGAAAATCTCTCACCTTCGTTCATGCCGCCGAGGCCGACTGCATTCCATGTCCAGGAGGACCAGCTGGACCACCTGGACCAGATGGAGAGCCAGGAGTCAAGGGACCAAACGGAGCATCAGGACCAAACGGACACCCAGGACAGCCAGGAAGCCCAGGACCAGCCGGACCAGCCGGACCATCCGGAAAGCCAGGACCAGCAGGACCAGCAGGCCAACGCGGAGAAGCCGGACCACGCGGAACTCGTTACTCCAAGGGAGTCGACGGAAAGCCAGGAGAGGTTGGACCATGCGGACCAGAAGGACCAAAGGGTGCACCAGGAGCTCCAGGAAACGACGGAACTCCAGGAGATCGTGGATTCGCTGGACAGCCAGGAGTTCCAGGAGAAGACGGAGAGGACGGATCCGCCGGACAGCCAGGAGCCGATGGAGCGCCAGGAGACGATGCTGGTTACTGTGCCTGCCCAGGAAGAACCATGTTCGCCTAAAAAGGAAGAACAGTGTTCGTCTAAAAACAATAAACATTTTATCATTTATTTTGTTTTCTTCTGTTTTTTTTTTTGAATGTTCATTCGGAGAAACTAGTTTGGGGGTGGAAGGGACGATTGAGAGAGAAAGACGATAATGGTTTGTGTCAGGTGACCGCGCCAAACTAATTAGTGAATTTTCACAAAAAGGGTAATGCAGTATTTAGAATGATAAGATAAGGATGTCGGAATTGGTTGAGAACAATATTTCATCATCATCAAACTGCAACAGATATCCAAAAAACAAAATACAGTACCGGTCAATTATTTTGTTTTCTCACTTGTTTCTGACCACTTTCAGGAATCTGAAGCTCGGCTTTCAAGTTTTTGGATCACTTTAAAAAAATCAGAGGGTGTGAAACTGACCTAGATCAACAAATTACAGAATTTTTAAAAAATTTCTAGTTTTCCAGATGTTTGCTGATTCCTGAAAGACACCTTTTTTTGCCCTGTTTGTGTATGGAATATGAGGAAAAGTCAGATGTTTCAGAAATCTTCAAATATCTGAAAAAACTAGGAACTTTCAAAAAATTCTGCGAATGCAAATTTTTTAACTAGCCCTGTTTTACACTCTTCATAATTTTCAAACTGGTTGGAAACTTGACAGCCAAGCGCCGAACTCCGGAAAATTGGAAAAATTGCCAAAAATCGATCGAAAAAAAAAGGTTTTTAGTATCTTATTGGCCGGTAGAGGTTTTATCCTTTCTAGTGAAAAATTTTCCAGAGCGATCATCTATTTCTGCACCCCATTCATCACTGAAAACAAGAAGACTCTCAAAAACACATTCCATTTTCAGCGATTAAACTACACTCATGCATTAAACATTTCAATGGACGAATTCGTTTCCTTTTGTCTAGAAAAATATTTACAATATTTGAATTAACCAAATAAACACGGAAAATTTGGTACAAAACATTTACAGGCGAAACTGATAAAACGAATGTTGATAAGAAATGAGTGTTTGTGTCCATGCATAGAAGTATAGCATATTTTTTGTTGTCCAGAAATTAAGCCGGAGATTCTGTGGCGAATGCTGTCGGATTTGAGTTGCCATACATATGTCCTCTCTCTTTTTTCGCCATTCTCACATTTTTATAATAAAAATAAGTCTTCTTTCTCTGCCATCCAGCAATGTTTGCCTCTTTTTTTGTCTTGTTACTCTTTCTCTTTTTTTCTCTTTTCCCCATTTTTACCTCCTCCCTTTTCCCCGTTGCGCTTATTTACTCAAACTGTTCTCTTGATTATTGGTCTTCTATTTGTATGATGTCAAGCCTGAAAATCCAAGTTTTATGGGAATTACTCGAGTGAAGATGCGATGGTTGGGTACGATATTATGTTTATATCTTGGTTCTTCGTGGGTTCAATCAAATTTAGAATTTGGATTGACAAATGCTTTTTTGGTGAGTTGAAATTTGTGAATTTCGCAACACCAGCGACACTTTTTCAGCCTCAAACCACATTTTTATTGGGTCCGATGGAGGTCCCGTGCAATGAAAGTCTTTGTACTGGACCATTATCGGAAATATATTGTCACGGAGAAATTCTTCAAAATTCGTGGCAGTTTGGACTGCAAAAAACTTGTCCAGGAGACAAACTGAGGGTTCCAGCTAAAGAAGTTTTGGCGAATTTCAAAAAGTGAGTTTTTTTCCGAAGGGTTAAAAAATTTTGAAAATTTTATGAAAATTTTCAGGTTGCCATACCCCATGAGCGTCGACAAGTTTCGGAGCTTTTGTGAAGAAAGTTTCGAGCAAGTGAACTATTTGGAAGTTGTGAATCTCACAGATTGGAAGATAGATCCGGTATTTTTGAGAGAGATAACAGATGAAAAACAGAGGTAAGCTGTTTTTCTTTCTAAATTTTTGGTCTATTATAGCATTTACGGTGTATTTTTGGCTCTTTATGACAAGGGGGGGGGGCCAAGTCAAAAGGGGGCCCATAGGTAAAAATGTGGACTAAGTTAAGACTTACCAATTTTTTCTAGTTTTTCGAATGTTTCTATAAAAATTTCGTACTTTGCGTTTGTTTCCACAAAAATTTGTCACTTCAAAAAAATTCAGTTTAGGCCGGTTTTTTGTATGAACCACACTATGTTTTCCATTGTAACTGTGTTATTTAAAGTTATTCAGCTAGTTTCAGATTTTTCCAGGCTTAGTAACAACAAATAGACAAAAAATATGCAAAAAATGATATAAACTGAAAATTTCAAAACACTTATGAAAAGTGTTCAAAGTTCGAAATTTTAATGGAAACGGTCACAAAACTAGAAACAACTGGTAAATCTCAACTTAGTCCACATTTTTACTTATGGCCCCCCCCCCCCTTCTGACTTGGTCCCCCCCCTTGTCATAAAGAGCCGTATTTTTATGAGCTGAATTTCAAGAAAAGTCCCTTGCTTGAATAAAAAAACCAACAAAATAATTTCCAGAAATCTCGCAAGTGAATTGAACGAACGATGGAAACGGCTCGCCCGCCAATTCACTTCTGACGTGCTCACCCATCCAGACATGTATCCCCTTCTACCAGTCCAAAATCCGTTCATCGTCCCCGGCGGTCGATTTGATGTCTACTTTTATTGGGATACTTACTGGATTATCAAAGGATTATTAGTATCAAAAATGTATGAAACGACAAAAGGGATCATTGACAATTTCTCGAATCTGGTCACAACACTCGGGTACATTCCCAATTCCGGCAATATTCAGTAGGAATTTTCACAAGTTGATTTAATATAAGACCGAACAAATTACAGATTAACACGACGATCTCAACCTCCACTATTCCCGCACATGGTATGGGAATACACCAAAGCAACGGGAAGTTATGACGAAAAATGGTTGAACAGCATGATAATGGAAATGGAATTTTGGGAGAAAAACAGGACTATTGAAGTGGATGGTCACACTTTGTTTGCTTATAAGGTATCTAAATCGATGTTGATTTTTAAATTAATTTCGAAAAAAAAACCATTCAGACTCTCTCAAACTGTCCGAGACCGGAGAATTTCCGTGGTGACTACTCGATTGGTATGAATACAACGATGCCGTCTGATGTATGGAGAGGAATTTCTTCTGCCTGTGAAAGTGGATGGGATTTCAGCTCTCGATGGATGCAGGGAGATACAACTGGTAGGTGATAAGAATTTTTTAAAATTCAATAATGTTTACAGCCGCCTTGTCGAATATACACACTGATCAAATAGTTCCTGTTGACTTGAATGTCCTTATGGCAAACAATTATAGATACATGGCTTTGTATGCGGAACATTTTTTGAAAATTGAGTAAGATTTTTTTGAAACTTATTCCCAAAAAATAAAATTTCAGTGAAGCGACTTCCTATAGACGAAAATTGGAAAAAATTAGTGCAGCCATTCAACATGTTCTTTGGGATGACAAACTAGGAGCGTGGCTGGATTTTGATGTTTCTCTGAAGAAGAAAAAGTGAGTTTTTGCACTTAACTACAATAATCACATTTTTAATTCAGTTCCAATTTCTACCCATCCAATGTCTATCCACTAATGATTCCGGGTTTTGAAAAATACGCAGATAAGGTGGAAAACTACATGAAAAAATCTGGAGCATTGAAGTTTGCTGGTGGGATTCCGTCTTCTCTACCTTCGGAGTCGTTGAATCAACAATGGGATTTTCCAAATGTCTGGGCACCAAATCAACACTTTGTCATTCAAAGTTTTCTAGCGACAAGTAATAGTTTCCTTCAACAGGTAATTTTGAAAAAAATGGATTTATTATTATTTTCAAAGATTCTGTGATCATTTGTTGGGATTTCATTTGTTTTCTAATTGCCTTAGATGTCCTAACAACATTTGCTCTGATACAACTATGTGTACTTTGAGCGCGATTATCTCGGTTCCTTCAAAAGATATCAAAAATTTCTCGACAAAAGAATTATTTATCATATTATGTCTAATATTTTATCAGTTGAAAGGTTTCTGATATCTCTTATAGAAACCTAGATAGTTAAGCCTAAAGTTGACGGTTTTGCGAGGCGGTATTCTATTAGAGTGTTTAGGGCCTTTTTTAAAGTTATTTCTTCCAGGAAGCAGCAAAACAATCTCAAGCTTTCATAGAGACTGTTTACAATGGTATGTACAACCCTACTGGAGGGCTGACCGGGGGTGTCTGGGAGAAGTATGATGCACGAAGCACTGGTGGAGCTCCAGGTACCGGCGGAGAGTACATTGTGAGTGAAAGTGACATTATTATTCATCAACTTCGAAATTGATTATAGGTCCAAGAAGGATTCGGATGGACTAATGGCGCAGTTCTTGATTTGATTTGGACATTTAGAAGTAATCACAACAGATTGGAGAAGTCGAGTGAGCTAGAGCTGGAAACATCTCAACAATTTGCTCTGGTTTATACTGCCGCTGGATTTTGTGCAATGGTTGCAGTTGTCGTGGTTTTCAAAGGTCTCATCAAATACAAAACTCGTCAAGCTTCGGAAGACGCAGAGGCAGGGGCATTACTACTTGGAGAGAATGATGAAAATGACGATTAATTGTTAGAAGAGAGTCCTTTTCAGTATTTGTTCTGGGTTACTGTTCATCTCATTTCTTCGAAAATTGGGTTCAGTTGAATATTTATAAATACATTTTTTAATATAAAATAATAAAAAGGAAATTTGGTTTAGAGATTGAAAAAGGGAACGCCATATTCACTCGAATTTCTCTATATTTATTCTGTTTTGCTGAAATCTAACTGCCACATTTCCCAAAATGAGTCGAACGTTGTTAAAAGGAAGAGGAAGATTTAAGTCATGAGAAGTTATGTCCACGTTGAAAGTTCTCAGAAAGATTGAAAACCTGAAAAAAATTGGTTGAGGATTGCCAATAATTCTGGGATCAACTCACTATGAGAATAAAAATAATGGTTAGGGAAGTAAATTCCACGTTGTTGTTAAGCTGATAAATGCTGAAGGATGCTACGTTTCCAAGGGCGTTAATGGTATTATATGGACGTTCTGCATCACCGAAAAGTCGAAAATCACGTATTCTTCCCATTGTGGTAAATTGAGAAATCCTTCTTTATCGTGCACAGGGAATTGATCACAATCGATTTGATAGTGTTCACATCAATCAACCTCAACACTTGAGCAATGTTATTTCCAGCGTTTTCTACGAGTTCTAGAGTTTCGACGCAAAAGCCACTCCTTCCGTTTTGGGTGAGCTCGTCGAAAAAAGTTGTCAAGATTTGCAAGAGTATATCAAAAAGATACCCAGAAAATTTCCATTGTAGCTTCAGATTTTTTATCTTTGTATTGGGGTTTTTTAGATAAGTACCAAGGCCTTTATTCTCAATTTCCATGTAATCACTGTTCACTATTTTTGATTTCTGGCCAACTGGAATTTGTGCAATGGTCGCAATTTTATGGTTCTGAAAGGTCTCATCAAATACAAAAGTCGTCAAGCTTCGGAAGACGTAGAGGCAGGAACCTTACTTTTTGGAGAGAACGACGAAGATGAAAATAAATTGTATGTCGTTTTCGATTATCTGTTCTGGGTTGTTTTTTTACCTCTTTTCTTTGAAAAGTGGGTTGAGTTGAATATTCAATCAATAATCTTTTTCAGAATAAAACAATAAAAATGAAATGAGGCGTTATGATTAAGAAAGGCAAGCCAAATTCACTCGCATTTCTCCATAGTTATGCGATTTTGCTCAAGTGTAACAGATACATTTCCCAATATTAGGTGAGCATTGATGAAAGGAGCAGGAATATATAAGTTTCTAGAAGTTATTTGTCCTTTTTCGAAGTTATCAGATCGATTGAGAACCTGAAAAAAATTTGATTATGAAATGCAAATTATTCTAAAATCCACTCACTGACAAAATGAACATAAAAATTCTTTTGAAAGTAATTTCCATGTTATCGTCATCCTGATCAATGTTGAAAAATGATACATTTCTAAGGGCGTTGAGGATGTGATCTGGGAGTTCCACGCCACCGATGAGTCGAAAATCTCGTACTCTTTCCCATTGTGGTGAATCGAGAAACTGTTCTTCGTCATGCAGATGGGCACCATCACAATTGATTCTGAGAGAGGTGATAGTGTTCACATCAATCATTGTCAACACTTGGCCAATGCTATCTCCATCGTTATCTTCGATATGTAAATTTTCGATGAAAAAGCCACTCCCACCGTTTCGGTCAGCTCGTCAAAGAAAGTTGTCAAGATTTGCAAGAGTATATCAAAAAGATACCCAGAAAATTCCCAATTTAGCTTCAGGTTTTTGATCCGTGTGTTGGGGTTTTTTAAATGAACACCAAGGTCATTCGTTGCGGTTTCACGTAGTTACTGTCTAATATTTTTGATGTCTGGCCAACTTGTACCTCACATTTATCCTCATCTTCAATGCTGTACTCTATTTCGATCTCATCCAATTTGAGAGTGATAGAGTCATTCCAGAAATCAAGTACCACATCGACAATAGTATGGTTATTATCCACCGCTTCTCGGAGCGTGCGGTTCACTTTTCGAAGAACCGATCTGAAATGTTTTGTTGCGATTTCCATTTTTTCAGTTTTACAAACCTTTCTTTTATATTCAGATAGTTCAGAATTTCCTTCAACGCATTGTTTGGCATCGTATCCAAGTTGGGTTTAGAAAAATCACGATTCATTGTTACAGAAGTTTCACAGAATAAAAAGCAACAAAAAAAAATTGATACAGCAAAATCAAAGTCACGAGGTTAGTAACCACAGCAACAAGAGTAGTCACCATAGCAACTCGGTGGAGCGTATTTGCTCTCTCGGCTATTTCTGCATATCAACATAGTTTTGCTTGCAACGACATATTAATGGTAGAAAAATATGAGTAAAGTGAAACGTTTCAAGAATGACTAACTTGTTTTAAATGATACCATATTTATCAGGCAGAGACAAAAATGAAAAATTTTTAAAATTGTCGAGAAGGGAATTCTAGGAGTAGTATGATGCCCGAAGCACATATGGAGTTCCAGGTACCTGCGGAGAGAGGGTCAAAAACATTTTATAAGACATCCCTTCAAGTGATCTAGAGCTGGAAGCATCTCAACAACCTAATCTAGTTTATGATGCCACTGGATTTTGTGCAATGCTGGCAATTGTCATGGTTCCCAAAGGTCTCATCGAATACAAAAGTCGTCAGGCTTCGGAAGACGCTGAGGCTGGAGCATTACTTCTTGAAGAAAACGACGAAGATGACAATTAGCTGTGAAACGAATGTCCTATTGTTTTTTGTATCTCTTCTGGACTTCTTTTTATCTTGTTTCCTGTAAAAGTGGGTTCAGTTGAATATTTATTAAATAAATTGTTTCAAAATGAAATTTAAAAAAATGAAATGTGGAGTTTAGATTGAGAAAGGTTTGCCAAATTCATTAGAATTTCTCCATGATTATGCAGTTTCGCGGAAGTGTAACTGATACGTTCTCCAATATACGGTGAGTGTTGAGCATAGGAAAAGGAATGTATAAGTTCTTAGAAGTTATTTGTCCAAATTCGAAGTTTTCGGATGGATTGAGAACCTGAAAAAATTGGTCGCGGTTTGAATAATTCTGTTATCCACTCACTGTGAAAACAAACAAATAAATGGGTTCGAGAGTAAAGTCCAAGTCAACGCAGTCATATTTAATATTGAAGGCCACGTTTCCAATAACGTTGAAAATGTTATGTGGGAGGTGCGAACCGACGAGTTGAAAATCCCTAACTCTTTCCCATTGTGGTAAATCGACTAATTGTTTTTCCTCATACAGCTGGACATGAGTATCGATTTGGAGAGAGGTAATAGTGTTCACATCAATCAATCTCATCAATCGAGCAATTTGTGCTCCGTTGTATGCATCAAGCTCAGTTTCGACGCAAAAACCACCCAACCCGTTTTGGGTGAGCTCGTCGAAAAAAGTTTCTATGATTTGACATAGTCCCTCAAAAAAATGATTTTTTATAATCCTACTGTAGCTTCAGATTTGTGATCCGAGTGTTGGGATTCTTGAAATAAATACCAAGGTCTCTCTTAGCGGATTCCACGTAATTACTCTTCAATAATTTCGATGTCTGGCCAACACCAATTACACATTGATTCACGCCTCCACTGCAGTATAGTATTTCGATGTCATCCAAATTGAGAGTGATTCTAGAAATTAACTTTCAGACTAACAGTAGTACAATAATTATCTACCACTTCTCGGAGCGCGCGGTTCACTTTCCGAAGAATGGATCTCAAATTTCTTATTGATATAAATATATATTTTTTTTTTGGTTGTCAAACCTTTTTTTAGATTGAGATAGTTCAAAACTTCGTTCAACGGAATTGTATCTAAATTGGGTGGAGAAAAATCACGATTCATTTTGACAAAAATTTCACAGAATAAAATGGGCAAAAAAAAATCGATAGAGAAATATCGACACTTAAAATCAAGAGGTTAGTCACCATTGCAACGCAATTCGGTGGAGCGCATTTTCTCTCTCGGCTATTCATGCATATAAACATAGTTTCTCTTACTACAAAATGTTATTGGTGAAAAAATGAATACAGAGAAAAATTGGAAAAATGAACAAAATTGGATAGTGATACCAAGCAAAAAGAAACATGATATTCCAAAAATTGAGTACAGATATTCAAAATTTAGAAGCAATAAACAATATCACGAGAGAATTCATGGTTGATGACAGTGGAGATGAAGTAGAGGAGGATACTGAAAATTTGAATGATTGTTTGCGCTAAAAAAAACTGAATTTCATAAAAAAATTTTAAGACTCATCTATTTTTCAGTCATTTTTTCTTGACACTTTTCGTCAAAAAATTTATGACATTTTCGTTTTAAATTTATGAAAATCTATCATTTTCTTCAAAATTGAGCAAGTTTTTGAACAAAAACGAAAGTTTTTTTCTGTGAAACTGTGGAGTTTTCGAAATATTTTTTACAGTGAACATATGGAAATGTTCAATTTCAAACACCGTAAAACCTTAAATAAAAGGATCCTCATACTGTCTAGTTTGAGCCCAATTATCTCAATTCCTCTGCAAGGTATCAAAAATGTGTCAACTGATACAATTTTTGTAATGATATTATAAACAGTTCATCGGTTAACAACATTTTCATATCTTTGACAGGAACCGAAATAAAATTGCTCAAAGTTAGAAGTAAGGGTGCCCTTCTATTACAGTTTTCACGGTAATACATTTTGAAGTGTTCCATCAATTATTTGATATTTTTTGTCATTTTTCAAAAAACTGGCTTACTATTTTAAACGGTGGATACACTCACCAAGAGACTGATAGTCATGAACTTCATATTTCATTCTGGGCAACTCCTCTCCCACGATCCGTATTGCCAATTTCATGTTTTCCTGCCAACAGAGTCCTCCAGTCGGTTGACTTATATCTTCAAGATGTCCAGATGACGTTGCTGGAACAAATTGAAAAATTTTACAGAAATTCATCAAAAGACTCACAAACAATATAGTAGATTTCTCCTATTTGAAAATCGATACCATTGGGGATCGGGTTATATTTTTGAAAAATCATCTTGATTGCAGTCTGAAAATATGGAGTTCTCATTTTTGAATGAATTTTAAACCAACTGTTTCAGTTTCATTGGCGCAGACTCCCATCAATTTTGTGTAGTACGTGTTGTGTGTGCATTGATCAAAATCCTGCTTCCCAACCTGGAATATAAAAGTTTTTTTTTTCATTCTGACAAGTTTTTGGGATACCCAATAAAGTTTGGCATACTCGTAGTGCATTCCTCGATGAAATGATTTTGGGCAGATGATAGTGAGCTGGTCTCCAAGACGAACGTTCATAGGAGAATGTTTCAAATGTTGAGGGAAACTAAAAAAAGCAGATATTATAGTAAATTATTCTTAAATTTAAGACTTACAATCTGGAATTCCAAATCACATCGTGATAATCTCTGCAATATGCGGGAAACGTGAATGCTAAAACTCCCAGAAGAACGTACATAGGTCTTGGTTCCATATTACCTTCAAATAAATATTTCGAAATTTCAAAAATAGCATTAATTCAAATGCACAAGACGGGTCACTATATCATATAGATTAAATAATTTCCAATCTAAAAATGGAGAAACAAAATTACTGGCGATTCTTAGCCGCGTTTTGTTAATATGTCATGCGGATGAGGAGATTGGCATGGAATAATCTCTGGATTTCCAATCTATTTGCAGCTACAATATCAAAATTTCTGATATCCACTGATGAAAATGTTGTCGAATAGGGAGTTTTAAGTCCTAGGAATTTCGAAAAAAAAACGGGTTTTAAAATTAGATTCATTTACAGGTTGGATACACATATTTAGGAGATTTACTGTAGAGAGATGTTGGATAGAAGGACCCTCTAACTGTCACATTCGAGTTATTTCAGTACTTTATGTAAAAAAGAGATCAAAGCAACCAAAGTTGACAATTAGGGTTCATCATTTAGAGATATTACGGTAGTTCCCTTCAATTAGAGATATTACAATAGTCCTATTTGCATCAAAACAAAGAAAACCTTAAAGTTCGTACAGGCTCATGATACAACATTTAGAAATCAGGCAGGTTAGAAAACATTCAAAAAAATTTGAACTTGTACAGTGCGCGTCATAATGATAGCACCACCCCATTTTTCGAGGTTTTCAGAAAAACTAAAAAACTAAGATAAAAACCACTGATGCCATTCGATTCAGCATCCCAAAAAACCTATGTGTCCCCTAAATCAAGTACCAGTCAAGTGTATTAGAACTACAGTAACCAAAAGTCTGTCTGCACACCGCGTCATAATGATAACACCACTCTGGAAAATGAAAAATCTACAGTTTTTTGAGAAATAAATTGAGAATGTTTTGTTGAAATTTGTTAAAATAGTCTTCAAACATTCTATTTTGACAGTCTACACAAGAATGATGTCTCTATTCGACTTTGAGAAAAATTTATTTACAGACGTTTTCGTCTTTTTTTTTGGTTTTTTGGAATAAATCGTAAATAAATAAAAAAAACTGAAACTTCGAAAACGAACCTTGAAACGAACCTTGTTTTTTGGGATGCTGAATCGAATGGCATCAGTGGTTTTTATCTTAGTTTTTTAGTTTTTCTGAAAACCTCAAAAAATGGGGTGGTGCTATCATTATGACGCTTACTGTATTAGAGAGGAAAAGGTCATACTTTGCAAAGAAAATAGAGAAAAAGAATGAGCTGCCTACCCGTCTAGGAAACATGGTAAGGCAAATTAGTCATCTTGTTCTCTCATTTTTTCGTACTATTTCTTTTTCGAGTGACTGTCCTTTCCTTCATTCGGCTATCGATAGAATATCCAGTTATCAATGAGGAGCCTTTTTTGAACAAGCATTGAGAACCATCCACAGGGTGATACCGAATACTGATTCTCATTCAAACGTCTAAAATAGTTCAAAAAACTTTTAAAAGTATCGAAATTTCAACATTAGATTATTGAACCGTGATAGAAAAAAATGTACCCGTAGTTTTCTAATTTCCTCTAATAATAAGCTAGCTTCTTTTCGAGAAAATTAAAGTATTATGAAGAAATTGACGGTGTCATTGAAAACTTCAGGGTCCCGTCGTTATCAGCCAATCTATCTGGCTCGAAATTCCAAAAACTTTCCAACATAACATTGGTGCCCTTTATTTTTTCAGATGAGTGTAAAATTCTCAACGGGATCTTTATTTTTTTTATGGGACCGAAAAAGTCATAAAGAGCCAAAAAAGTCTACGGTAAACATCCATAGGCTATGTTTTTCATAGAAACAACACAGGAGGAAAAAAACTTGTAACCCGTATGAATATTGGGAAGAAAAACGTAATTCAAAATTTAAAATCTAAAAAACTACAAAAATATTAGGAGAGCCAAAAGTAAAGTAACATGTTAAGAGTGTCAGAAAAGTTGGACATTTCCCACTTGAGCTTTTTTTTGTTTCGAATATCGGAAATTTTGGTTAAATATAACTCATAAACTCTTTTGGTGAACGACCCTCACGTACATAAGGTGATAATGTGAACATGCTGTTGTCGATAACATTTATTGAATTGGTTGAAGGGTATATGCCACTAACACAATACAAATACAAAGGGGTAGGAAAGTAAAAATTTTTCTTGATAATAAAAGGGCAAATTTTAATTTCTGAATTAGTTTTTGAAACGTTGGTGGATTAGTTGGTTTGCAGTTTCAAACTATCCTTCTAGTTGTTTCCGAAATTATAAAAATATTCGTAGTGGTGTTATTTTTCTGGAACATAGCTTTTAAACCTCTGCGATAAGGAAGTACAAAATAAATCGTGAGAAGTGGATCAAAAATTGTATAGATAAATCCAATAGGACTGACAGCAAATTCCACGATCAAACTATCAGTTTGATAATGTTGATTGTAAATGAAATATGTGAAACTTGGAATATAACAGAAAAGTGGAAGAAGAGTCTGGAGAGTTAGCCCCTGAAATGATTTTGTTTTGCCGTGGGAGGAAAGGCTGGAGATAGATTAAAACCGACTTGAATCATGCTCTTTGTCTGTGCTATCTTCTCTGAGTGATAAGATTTAGTTGTGTTCAAGATTTTCAGGATTTTGCTGGAAACAAGAGAAAGATGAAAGAATGCAGCTACCGGAAATCGAAAAAAACCAACCTTCGAAAATACAAAGCAACAAATGGTGTTCCATAGACTCCCAATATTATCATCGCAGTATTTACAGATGCCACCACAGTTTTTACTTCAGAAAATCCAAGGATAATGTAATTGTCAAGATCATAAGATGGGTGTAAAGCTGTTAACTCATTGACAATTTTTTGACGGTCACTCGGGGAGAACAAGTTGAATACCTGAAATTGAGAAAAAACATTAAAATATTGGTTATGAATTTCTGAAAAACAGAATTTTTTGTCAGAAATTCTGGTTTTCAGAAATTCCGAACTTCGAAATTTCGGAAAAAGCTTTGAATCCGGAAAAAATCGGAAATATTTTCAAAATGTTCAGAATTTCTAGAATTCCGTAGTCCGTTCCGAGCATCTTTGTTGGATCAAAAACCCACCAAAAGGACTGTAGGTATACTGTAACTTATCACCAATTGTCTGTAGTGATGAGTTCGAGTAAAACTTCTGGCTGTGATCATGTTATACCGGTAGTAAAATGCAATTATCAAAGCTGCAGCACAAGAAAATAATGAGACTTTGAGAACATGGAAGAGAACTTGACAAGTTAATACTCCCAAATATTTACAAGGACCGTAACATAAAATAGCCACAGTCTCGGAATTCGGAACCACCCTTAAACAGTTTCTCTTTTTTTTTCTTCTAAGACAGTACAAAATTCCTTACCTGGACTGTGACAGAAACGCACTCATTGTGGATATAAACTGTAGAATCAAAATATTCAATAAGTATAGTCTCATATCTTTCAGTGCCGTAACTTTGCACGTTTTTATTAAAAATAGTAATAAGAGTTGGGCAGAAATAGCCGAGAATAGATAAACGTTGAAGAATACTGTGAAGATTAATACCAGTTGGGATTCCAAAGGGGACATCATTCCGAATAATTATGGGTCACTCTGTAATAGGTGGAAACTAAACTTGCAGAATGTGGTGATATAAAGTTTTTCAGTGGCGGGTAAATGATCAAATAACAATGAGCCACCTGCACAAGAAGTAACGATTCTTAGTAAGAACTTATGAATAAAATTCAAAAAAAAAAACAAGAACTAGATTAATTCTTAGGACGTAAATTCAATAAGGTGTCTTATATACAGAAAACAAAAAAAAGTAAATTGCACAAGAAAGAACAGCTAAACTTTCGTTGTTGCTGTGTTCCGTCGATGAAAGTTCGTTGTAGCTGGATACGTGGTGATATCAGTACCTTCTTCCGATACGCTTGGGAAATATTTGAAAACTCGTTTGCAAAGTGCTCGGCGATACGGCAGCACATAGTAGAATGTGAGCAATGGGTTGATAAATGCAGTAAATGATCCCAAAGTGTTGAGTAGATATTCTGCGTAGAGACTGGAATGATCTAAACAGTTTTTTTTGGATTTCACACATAGCAGTATGAGTTTAAAAGTACCTGTAAACTGAGAAACTAAAACATAGGTAAAAGGTGGAATGTACACAACGAATGGAACCATTGTTTGGAGTAATAAACCCTATAATCAAATTTCGGCGTTTTTGTTTTATTTTTCTGGAATTCGTTTACATTTATGAGCTGCTTACAATAAGCTACTGGTATTCGTTGAATACTGGTGTTTGAAGTGATGACCTTGGTGATTTTTCTGTAATAAAAATATCGAATTTCAAGATAAATAATTATTATTTTGGAATGTATTTTAATGATGTCAATCTCGAATATCGTATTCCTACAAAACTTCTGCGTAAACAAATTAGTTCATGCCCTTTTTATGCATACCTTTTGTAATAGAGAGCAATAAATGGTGCCGAGTAAACTCCTAACGAAATAGATATCTGCGAAATGGTCCCTCCTACTCCCTTTGTGTTTGAAAACCCAATCAATGAGTTATTGGTATAGTCATAATTTGGATGCAATGCTCTTGTTTCCGCTTCAACGATTGCAAAGTCCGACTCGGTGAACAGTTGAAATATCTGGAAGGTTTAGACCTTTTTTGAGCATGTGACCAATTCATAAACTCACCAACATAGAAGTAGGAAGCAGAGAGAATATGGCAATGGTTTTCTTGTGACTACGTGCATTTTTCACGTGCACTTGGAGCAGACGATACCGGTAGTAGAATGAGAGTAGAATAGAGAAGCTGGCAGCTACAACGGAAGCTTGTACCAGGGCAAACATGAAGAAACAGGTATTGGGACCAAAATGTTTGCATGGTCCGTAGCAGAAGACTGCGAGGGTTGATTTGTTGGCAACCGGTCTGAAATCATAAATTTTATTATATTGGCCACTTTAAATATTTGCGTAAATGAACTTTTCGCTAATTAAATGTCACATTGAGACCGTTTATTCTGGTTTGTTAACAAATATCAAAAAGTGGTCAACTGAAAAAAATATTTTCAATATTTTTACGTACAATTTGCCAATTGACCATTTTTCGATATTTTTCACAGGGACAGAGATAAATTAACTCAAAGTTGACAGTTTAAACGACAATATGTTAGATTGTTTACGGTATTTAGGAAATTGTTTTTTTTTCAAAACTTTTTGTTACCCTACAATTATACATGTTATGTATGATTTATCTTAGCAAAAATAATTTTTAAATGTGATCATTCAATTCTAGTGACAAATTCGGAGATCTTTCTTAATTATCAGTGTCCGAAACGCACACTGACTATAATTTTGAGTCCTTGTCTGATCATTAGGTGCTAGTCATGTAGTCTAGATTCTAGATTCGCATTTAAAAAAACGATTAATCATAATAGGTATTTGATCACTGAAATAAAATTACCTGTTTTTTCAGATACAAAGTATTAAAAATCAGAGGTACCGTGAAACCTGTTTTAGAATTGCCCCAACACTGTCAAGTTTTAGCTAATTTTTCTCGGGTCTTGTCAAAGATATGGAAAACGGGTGAACTATCGAAATCCTTCTGATATTACGAGAGCACAATTGATCAGTTGACATATTTTTGTGTCTTTGAGGGGAACGGAGAAAAATCTAAAGATCGGCTCAAAGTTTGAAATTATTAGATTGGTATATTTCTCAGGTTAAAATCACTTAGAACAGAACAGTAATGATAAGATATTTAAGTTAGTATGAAACATTTAGTCCTTTGTTATTTTTTTTTCTAATTTTTAAAATGTCTTCAACTTACCTGCATTGCGCTAGAAACGTTGACGCACTGACCAAAATTTCACAAATCGCAGTGTTCAATAAATAATACTGCATATCTTTGAGCAGTGCTGACCTCGTAGTTTTCATGATAAAGAGTAGCAGAATGTTTGTAATAAGGGATAGTGTGATGCTAATAGGATAATATGCCCTATAGATTAATTGAAGTTTCATCTCCTCAATCATCATCCTTGAAACTGAATGAAATATGAATTAAATTTCAAAATTTCAGAAAACGAAAAAAAATAGAAAGGGAAAGATAGAAATATATTGAAAACGGGTATGACGTGCGATTAGAGTAACAGGAAAACATAAAATTAGCCATAAATGGGACGGGCTATTAATAATAAGCTTTGTTCGGACAAGAAAAACTATCCGGACAACAATTTACGTCACATTCAGTTTTGATCTCTTGAAAGAAGATAATGAAATGTAAATCTGATGTTGGAAAAGAGGGAGTACTTTGGAAACTTTGGAAACTCTAAAAAACGGTAAAAGTAATTTATTTCGAACTTCAAATATTTTTCTTTTTTTCAAAGTTCGATTTCACTAAAAAATTGGAAAATGCCATTGATGAACTCAGAAATAAAATTCTCAATTAAAAAGATGCATACACAAAGCTAGCCAACAGACTGCGAGCACTGACAAATAAGGAAGCGTCATCCCGTTGATGAAAGTAACATCCGGCTGAGGGACGTTGAGAATTGAAATAAACTAGCCCTGTCACGCAAGTCGTCTGACTTCAAACATCATCTATCGGTTTCTGTCAGGAAGCGAAAAAGAGACCTAAGGTTAGTCACTTTTTTTTCACCTGGAAGTTCGTGTCACAAAACTCCCTTGTAGTCAGATTTTAGAATAGTATTTGCTGTCATTTTGAAAATCAGCCGGTTACAAAAAATTCAAAAACACATAAAAATTGTAAATTTCTAATTTGAAATATCAGACAAGCGCAATGTTACAATTGTAGTACCGTATTTCCTTTAATAGAAAACCACCGAAACCATCAACTTTGAGCCCAATTATCTCGATTTCTTTGCACAAATTATGACCTTAAAATTTTGTCAACCAATAAAATATTAATGATATTATGATGATTAATTCATCAGTTGATCAATTTTAGTATCTATTATAATTGACAATTTGAGTGGGCTTCTATGAGAGCGAATACGGTATTTTACTGTCAAAAAACTTGCAAATTCTGGAAGAAATTTGAAAGAAGTTCAAAATTTAAAATTTAAAAGAAATTTAGCAGGTTCTAGAAGATTTATAGAACGAAACAAAAAATAGTAGAATTCAAATCAAATTTTGAACGCAATGGCTACCAAGTATGCTGCCGAGACAGCAACAAAATTTGATTTGAGATCAAATTTCAGTGGGAACAGAAAAAAAAACACTTGCGAGCAAAGTTGAAGTGCTCTCACATTTAGATTTTTTTTCTGATTTTTAGAAATACAAGAACTTCATATTTTTGTATATTCAGAAAACAGAGTCTAATGAGGACCAAGAAGTTTTGGAACAATCAATTGGATTCTTCCAACCAGAAAATTGTATTGTTTTCATTCTTTTTCATTCAGAGCCAATGTTCCAGGAGCGTATATTCTTGGAAATAGGACAGGTGCTTTACATTGAACATTTTTTCTGGCCAAAATTGTTCTTAACTTCTTTTATTTCCCTATGTACAGTACCGGTCAATGAAACATACAAAAACGTGTTTCTCGGCAGATTTTTACCATTTTTATGAGTCTGAAACTTGGCTGGCAAGTTACCGACCACTTTGCAATTTTTAGAAGATGTAAAACAAACCTATTTTGAACATTTTAAATTCAAAGAACTTTTTGACAATTCATAGTTTTACAGCTATTTGCAGATTTCTGAAAAAGACCCCGTTTTCCCATTTTGCACTGAAAACTTTTTTAAAAAAGCAGGTGTCTTTCAGAAATTGCCATATAGCTGAAAAAAAACTAGGGATTTTCAAAAATTCTGTGAATGCAAAGTTTCGGATCTAGGCTTGTTTTATACTCTCCAAAATTTTCAAAGTGATCGAAAAATTGACAGCCGAGCTTAAGAATTCTGAAAATTATTGAGCGATACTGTTTATTTTCATTCTACAACAAAATTTATTCCCATTAAATACTGTAGTTTGAAAAAAAAAGTGATTGAGAAGGTACGAAGAAACAATTTTGTAAAGAAGAACCGAGGGAAAACCAGAACAGTCCGTTTGAAAAAGAGAGAAAAAGGGCATAAGAGTCATAGCTTGATAGATTAGTCATTCAATTTTTAGGAGAAGGGAAAAAGATGATAAAAACAGAGTAAATTTGGTGGATGAGTGACAGAAAATAGACGTAATTGTTTTTTTTTTTCGTTTGGCTGAGAAACTGAGAATGGAGACTAGAAAAAAGAGGGAAACACGGATAGGATGAGAACGTGGATGAATGGAAGATCAAGAACAGTTTTGGCAATTAAACAATCAAGGCTTTAATCAAGGCTGACTCTACAGTATACTGAAAAAAGTTGACAAGTATATAGTAAATGGAAATCAAAATGTTAATACACAATTAAAGCTGGCACCAAAGCAGAAGTCTTCTTAAGGGATTGAAAAAGAAAAAAAAAGAAATCTATGACAAATGCAGGTTAGGAAATCACCGTTATGTCTATAACACAACACATAGATATGAAAATTAAGAAAAGTTAATGAAAGGATGAATTATACTTTGTCGGCCTTGTTGAACATGGAAAACGCAAAACTGCGTTGTGAGCCGGGCGAGTATTGATTCTTCGGAGCAGTTGAGCTGAAAGGAAATTTCGTCAATTTTGAATTTGATTTATAAAGCCTGTGATGTTCGTGTTTTAAAACAGTCATTCGAAATAAAAATACTAACATACATCATTTTTTTGACTATTTTAAAGTACATTAGTTATTTTTTAAGCCCTCAAAAAGTATTGCAACATTTTCCAATTTTCTAAAACTTCTGAATCAAATTAAACATGTGACGAATTTTGGTAAATTCTCCCGCCAAAGCCTATACAGATGAGATATGCTGTATTTATCGAAAGCTGAAAAAACCGAAATTAGCACTGAATTGAGCGTTGTCCCAGTTTTAAACTTTGTACTCATATCGTTTTGCTGGATTTTCCCGATATGTTGTCAGGTACGAGATGAAGCTTAAAGTTCTTTTAGTATTCTTAACAGCCTTTAATTGAATCGAAAAATTCTGAACTACTTTTACAAGACTTCAAAGTTGTATAACGTAAACAATCTAAATCTTCAAACCCGTCCACTTTGAGCCATTATATCTCAATTCCTGTGCAAGATTTCAAAAAGCGGTCGACTGACAAAATAATAATCATAATATTAGCAACATTTTGTCAGTTGGCCACTTTTTGATAACTTTCACAGAAACCGAGATAAAGTGACTTGAAGTTAAAAGTTAAAGGGTCATTCTATAAAAGAGTTTACAGTATCATCCACTGTAAACTCAAAAATCGACATTTCTGGCTTGTGCTTTAAAAAAAAATATAATAACCAATCCAAATAACATACTATTATATAATTTTAGGCCAACATTTTTTTTTAATTTTAAAATTTCAAAATCAATATACCCATTGTTTCTCTGTGAATATTCGGGATGATAGGAGTAGTCATGAGCGTTACTGTAACTACCGGACGAGCTAGAACTTGGAGCATAACGATTCGAGGCGGTTGAAGATGAAGCAGAAACGGCAGTGGTGTTACGACGATGAGGTGTTGGCGATTTGTAGGAGTTAGCTGAAGGGTTATGAAATTCAAAAAGGGTAAATGGGAAAATTGGGGTGAAGCACTATGTCTACTATTGATTGGTTTATTCCTTGAAGTCACCAATCGTGCCGAACAAACTATGTTCTACGTTTTAGAAGTTCACAGTGTATCTCTCAACTTTTTTTTCAAATAGTTCGAACAGTTTACCAAGACGACTGCAATTTTTTTTGTTGCGCAAATCAAAAATAGAAGCTGCACTTTTTGGTGTTAATCTATTTACTACGGCACTACTGGAGGTTAGAATAAAGTTTTAGAAACGAACATAATAAATAAGAAATGTTTGAAAAAAAAGAAAAGCGTGCAAAATATAAACTGGATGAGCTGAGCTACCAAAGAAACAGCGGATAGAGCGTTGTGTAGTTTACCTTTTGTCACGTTTTCTTCTTCATTTATGATGGTATTCCTGAATTTTTAATTAGAGAATTTTGATTGAATTAAAACTTAAAATCGATGATAAGCGATAGGGAAAGAGAAGTGATAACTATGGAAACCGAGAGAGTGGACAGAAAATGAAAATTTGAAATTTTAAGTCACCTGTGCTACTTCCAACAGATCTCATTGAAGGTGATGGACCATACGCTTCAGAAGATGTCGACGCGCCGTTATTGGTTTCTGATTTCTCCTAAAGTTGAAAAGAAATAAATTGGTGATAACATTGAAGGGAAAAACTAATTACCGTGTGTCTAGCAATCATATTTATACTGCTCGCATTGCTCTCACTTTCCGAGCATGCACTTCCGACGCTCGAATCACTTAATCGTCGCGGTCGGACCATTAGAGAAGCTTGTTGTTGACGATCGGCTCTGAAATTTGGCAGTTAAGGAAAACTCCACTACTGAAGGTTAGAGTAACAATTTAGAATATTGATACAATCACAAAATCTACCTTTGCTGCGTTGAATTTTGAAGAATTGCGGATAAATGCTCGACGAGGCGTTTGAAACGTCGAACTGGTCCAGCCAGCAAAGTGAATTGTACCACATATGTTGGAGTCTCACCAGCAAGTACTACTTGTTGAGGGGAAGGAATAATGTCGACCTGAAAGACTTATATGAGAAATTGTTCAAAAGGTTTTTTCGAGAATTTATGTTCTCGAAATTTTTCCGATTTTTTTCTGGGAATTTTGGGGCAAAACCGGAAAAATAGGAAATTTGATTTATAAATTAATTTTTGCTTGTTTTTCTCAAATTAATCGTGAAATTTATTTTTTGTTGGGAATTCATATAAATTAATCAAGTTTGCCGAATTTGTGCAAAAATCTGTAAAGTCCTGAATCTGTAAAGTTGTGAAATTTCTTGAATATTCTTTTTCAATTGAAGTTTCTATTCTAATACAGGTTTTATGTCATGTTGGTTGTTTTCCTTTTTTCTTTTTCAATGAATTTCAATTAAAAACAATAAAAACCAACATAGAATTGGAAAAAAACAGGCAAGAATTCACTGAAAAACCAATTTCCCAGATTTTCGCGATTCTCTCAAAAGTTGCCCTCAAAATATCAAGAAAATTTTCGGGAATCCAATTTCTTGAAAAATTATTTCGGGAAAATTTTCGGAAACGAAAATTCTCGAAAAAAGATTCCCGAACAAAAATAATTAGTTGTAGACTCACATTCATTTTGATGCCACGACTAAATACACTTCCTCCAACAGTTGGGCCCCGTTTGTACTCCACCCGGAAACAGTTCTGTCCTACTACCGAATGACTGAGCTCGTGAATCTGAAGGAACGCTCGAATGAGCTCCGCCTTGATGCTGTTCAGCGTTTTTCCTTGAACCGGTACACAGTGAGTGTCGTCTCGTTCCACACTCATACTCGACGCCAGAGAACCGAACCAGGACTTTTTGACGAGGCTGAAATATTGTAAGTTTTGCTTGGTCCTCGATATTTTTTTTTTAAATTCATTTTCCAAAAAACACTGAAGTGAGAAGCGCACACATCCCACACATTCCCCGAATATTCTATTTCTGTCTGTTGCACTTACTCTGTTGTGTCAATCATCTGACTGTCCTCGCTGTCACTCTCCGCCGTTCCATTGGACATTTTCCGGCGATGGAATCTTGGAGTGCCCAAGAACGAATTCTTGATGTTGTTGAGCTTTGATCTCCATGGACCACTTGTCGATCCTATGCTGGTTTGACTGTTCCCAGCAATTAGACTGTTTGAAGAGGAATTTGCAGAGTTCATCGAGCTTCCGGCAACTTGTACACTCTCCGACATTACCGATGGCGGGCTGTATTTGTATGGCTGGAAAAAAAGAAGAATTGATTACAAGAAATTCTATAAGATGCTCTGTATACAGTCATCAAAATATACCAACACGTGTTTCAGTTGATTTTTGGCATTTTCTGGAATCTGAAACTGGGCTGTGAAAGTTTTGATCACTTTGAAAATTTTGTAGGATGTGAAAAAGACCAAGATGTAAAGCTTTGCATTCATATAATTTTTTGAGAATTTCGTGTGATATTTGCCGATTTCAGGATACGTGTTTTTCTCACGTTTTCAATGAAAACACGATTCGAAAGTTGCCTTTTTGGGTCGTTTTTGTTTGAAAAAGCGACAAAACAGGACTTCCGGAAAACGCGAAAAAGTGGAAAAATTAGGAATTTTCGAAAAATTCTGTGAATGCAAATATTTCAATCAAGGTCTGCTTTAACACTTTCCAAAACTATCAACGGGATTGGAAGCTTGACTGCCAAGCTCCACGCTTTTGAAAAAAATAGTCAAAGTGTCTGAAAATCAATTGAAAAGCAAATTGTCGTACATGTCATTAACCAGTATTGGATAATGATCTTACCACTGAAGTAGGTGCCGAGGATGCATCATTTTTGCTGCTACTACCACTTGGAGTCTTGTCACTTCTATCCTTGCTCTCTTTCCTGGACGATCCTCTACCACTATCTCTACTCTCTCTTCTCTCTTGCTCTCTAACTTCCCGAACATGTCGAGCTGCTTCGGCAAGTGTTTGTGGATCAACAGGTTGAGTGTAGTAGTGATAACTGTTGGCAGATCTTGATGCTGATCGTCCACGTTCCCGCTCTTCTCCAGCTCTAGCCGAATAGGATCCACTCGACGATGATCCGAACAAATCTCTCGATGAACTTCTCGGAGATTCTGTTGGTGATCCTCCGAGACTAGAGTGCCTTCCAGATTTGCTATTCCGTCCGTAGGTTTTTCTGGGGTTGATTGGACTTCCATCAGCAATACTCCCCATTGGGTATCTTGATGTCCTTGTTGTATCTGTTCGCTTTTTCGGTGGATCGTTGTTAAGCGCAGAGCCGCGTAGTACAATCTCGGTCTCATCTTCTTGAGCTGGACGGCGACGTTTCCTATCCAGAAGCAAAAAATACACCATTTTCTCCGTGTTGTGTCTGAATTCGTAGTTATTTTTAGTGGCAAACTCTTTAAAAACTCACTTCGGAGAAAGCAACTCGTTTATCAGCTTCTGCTTATCCTTGAAACATCCCAAACAGTTCATATGACGAAGCACGTCTGGATCAATCGAATCTTCTGCTGGAATAATATGAGTTTGCACCACTTGCGACATCGGGAGTTCCAGTTCAGGATCCGCTTTTGTCGTTCCAGAGACCCATGGATGTTTGAAGACGTCAGCCAGCGAATATCGTTTTCCTGGGTCCACTTCAATCATGGCGCGTAACAAACTCTGTACATCCGCAGGGACAAAGTGTGGAATATGAAATACTCCACGTTTCACTTTTTCCAGAAGGTTCCGGAGGTTATCATCGTCAAAAGGAAGAGCTCCGACTAGTAGGGCGTATAAAATCACACCGCAACTCCAGACGTCTGCTTTTCGACCATCATACTTTTCTCCCTGGAAAAATGGCAAATAGAAAAATTGCATGACCTTTCAAAATACAGCACCGGTCAATGAAATATTCCAAAACGTGTTTTTTAGTTGATTTTCGGCCATTTTTATCATTATTAGAATATGAAGCTTGGCTGTCAAGTGTCGGAATACTTCGAAAAATGTAAAACAGACATAGGTTGAAAACTTTGCCATCACGAAATGTTTTGAAATTTCTTAGTTCTCTGATTCTGGCCGATTTTAGAAATACAACAGTTTGTTCACGTTTTCAGTACAAAATGTACCAAAAGGGGTGTCTTTTAAAAATCGGCACATAGCTGTAAAACTAGGAGTCTTCAAGAAATTTTGAGAATGCAAAGTTTTCGATCAAAATCTATATTACGCCCTTCAAAGATTTCAAGGTGATCCGACATTTGTCAGCTGAGCTTCAGACTCTTGAAAAAGGTAAAAACCAACTAAAAAACCATTTTGTTAATCTTATAGACCATTACTGTCGCTTTTTGCCATACTTGTGGAAAAGATGGCCAGCCCGCGGGCCGGGCCGGGCCGGGCCATGGGCAGGCTGAGATTTTTCTGAAAGCGGGCCGGACCGGGCCGGAAAAAAATACACATGGCCGGCCCGCGGGCCCGCCCGCTGTTTGAAAATTTTGAAATTTCAGAGCGAATCATCATTTTTCAAGATGGTTTTTCTTCTTAGTGAATGAAAATCCACACTAGAGGAGATACTGTCGACAAAAACTGTTTCGAAGTCGTAATTAGAAAAAAAGTTTCATCCTTGGCTTAATGAAATTTGATTTTTTGCTAAAAATTCAATTAAATTGACTTTTTCGGATGGTTGTATGCATTTGGATTAATATTTGTGCCATTATAAATATTTTGTCACATTCGAAAAATAAAATTTTCGAAAAGTCCTAGGCGGGCCGAGCGGGCCGGGCCGAAACTTTTGAGGCAAGCGGGCCGGCCCGGCTATCCACATTTACCGTAAAACCTCTAATAGAACGACACCCGGATCGTCCACTTTGAGCCTATATATCTCATTTTCTGTGAAAGATATCAAAAAGTGGT